ATGATTTACTTTAAACCGGAGACGTGCAGTTTTCGCGGCTTAACATTCTGAAATATGCTACTCTTCCAAGCGAAAATCTGAAATGTGCTAGTCTTCCACGCAAATAACGAAATGTACTACTCTTCCACGCAAAAATCTGAAATGTGCTACTTCCGACGCAAATAACTGAAATGTGCTAGTCTTCCACGCAATCTGAAATGTGCTAGTCTTCCACGCAGAATAACGGAAATGTGCTACTCTTCCACGCAAAAATCTGAAATGTGCTAGTCTTCCACGCAAATAACGAAAAGTGCTAGAAAAAAAAAACAATTTTTCAAGAGACGACTGACCAGTAGTTTGACATCATAAATATCGCTAGCTTTGTGTGAAAAGTTGCTAAGTCCACAATTTGTGAAACCTCATGATATAGGAAGCAAGAGAAATTAAAGATTAAGGTACTTGTTTTATTTTTTCTCGTTTATATTCAATTAAAGGCAAATTATCTAAGTCCAGAAGAGGCCCCGAAAATCCGATAAGGCCAAAATAATATGAAATCTTTTAATAAAGATAGAAATTTTTGATTCGTATGGAGTTTTGCTTTGCTTTAAACACGCAAAATGTCGTATTCAAAGTTCCTGTAAAATTTGTAAAAATGGACTTAGCAACTTTTCAGCCTGCGATATGTTAAATATAAATATGGAAACATATGATCATTTTTATTAAACTTCGAATTACTTATATTATATATATTTTTTTTAATTACGTAAGCAAGTTTTTGTTCATAAAAGGGTGCAGCAGTTTGAATTTATTTAGAACGGGAACATACCTTTATATCAAAAGCCTACAAAACGCTTTCAAATAAAATATTTGCCTATTTGAAACTTTGAGGCGATTAAAGCAAGTGCAGCAAAGCTGCCATTTGGCCAGCCTTCATGCATTTCAGTATATTCCAAATAACTTTTGACAGTTCTCAAAGCGCGGCAAGCAAAGCAAGCCCGCATTGGGCCAATACCTTTATATATACATACATAGATAGTATACCATGCAGCACAGCTCTCAAACCAGTTTACAAAGAATTTTAAATTTCCTCTGTCAAAATTACAATTTATTTGGACATTCATTTGAATAAGA